TCAGGTTTTCATACATAGGCTCATTTGTAAGTAGATCAGTGTAGTTTGAAAGATACACAACTGAAGTCTATATAATAAAGTACAGGAATTAAAATTAATATCACGTCTATTGTACCTACTTACCAGACCAGAAAATGTAACAATTGATTTGTTCTGAAGTGTCAAATATCCATCAGGAACTAAGCCTAAACTCCCATCTATAACTTGAATCATAATTTCATCAGTACATGATTCATTATTAGAAGATGAAGGACTATTAGACCTCCACCAGCCAGCATTATACCATAATGGGAGTATCCATAGATACTTAGAACCAAACATTCCTCTATAATATGCCTACAAGTACAGGTACACATAGAGAAATTATCTGAATCATTCATACCTCACACAACACTGGATAAGCAATATCAGGATATGCATTAATGTGAATAATTCTGAATTTCTGGGCCTCACTCTAAAAAAGTTAAATCAATACTAATGAATACAAAATGGTATAACTATAACTCTGTCAAAGAAAGGAAGAGGGTTATGTCCTGATAAGACATCATATCTGTCTAATATCCACCCTTCATTTTTAAAAATAACACTGGCTAGCTCATCAGTCACCTGTAAACCATAAAATATTTAATCTTTTGTATTATTTAACCTTACTCTACTGAACAAAAGGTGGTCATCTTGTGCAATGATTGACATTTGTCTCCATCCAAACTCTCTCATTAATTGTCCCAATGATTCACCAACATTACGAAATGAGACAAGAGTGCTAAAGAAGTTCCTAAATCTGGTTCGGTCACTGATTTAAAACATTAGCAGCTGCTGCATAAGCTAACTATTAAAGAATCATTAGTACAATGGCGACATATTGTATGCAAACATTACATGCAAGCACAACCAAATGTATAATAACTCATTGTGATTGTTCTTAAGGTGGGTTTACACTTCAAAATTTAATTTCTATATAGCCGACATTTACATAATGTAAGAATAGAGATAATTTCTATTCTAACATTATGTAAATGGTGGCCATTGGTTTATACAGCACTTCCTGTCTTAATATAATTGCACATTTGCACCACTAATCATGTACAGGATTGTGGTACATGCGCATACATGACAATCAAATGAACTGTTAAACCTGTGGTATATTCCAGTAGTGGCTAATTTCAGCTACTGGTATCGTATGATTGCACTGAAATTTAAAAAAATAAGAAATTATTATTATTATTATTGAAAATTGTTACCCCCGAGTCCAGTATATCAGTATATGCTAGTGTGTAGTTTTGTAAAATATCATCTCTCTCATTTATGATTTGCAGTGCCAGATCAACTGCTGGTCTGCCTCCACTAGCTACAAACGAACCGGTGATAGTTGTAATGTATCCAAACTGGAGTGTCGATTTTGTAGCTGATTCTATGGTGGAGATAAACGGCGCTATAAACCAGAAATAAAACAGCAACTTGCACATCTTTGATTGTTGAACAAAAGTTTTGTTGGGTGGGGCTAATCTATAAGGCTTCCTCCTACTCTACACAACCAAGATCTAATGCCTCCATGTACTTCCATGAATACATTGTCACATTGACCTGGTGCTATTGATACACTCCCTAAAATACCCAGATGCAAGTTTTGATATTACCAGTTATATTAAATTCTCCTCTCTTAACACTCGTTCTAACTCCAAAGCTAAATTATTGTTTCACTATGCACCCTCTAATATGCTTCTCAACACTTACTTCAATAGAATTGCCAGACTTTCGAATGCTCTCCCTCCAATTGATCTGTCACAGTCTTTTTCAACAATCAAATGAAAATTAGAGAAATTCTCTGGTCTCACTTTCTTGATCACTTTGTCTCTGATGATTACTGTACTTATCATGCATGTGATTTGTCCATTTCTGCACTGTCATACCAAAGTCCCAGCCCAATTTACACTTAAATAAATGCTTGATAATCAACCAATCTCTCTTTTCTCTATTAATTTACTCCCTCTCTTTTCCTCTCTCTTTCTATTATCATAAATTTTGTTGTGATTCATTCGATTATTTTGATCTATTTTAGTACTCTGATTATTTAATTGTTTGATTTATTTGTTTGA